TTATTGAGTCAGTCAGTTAATTTAGACAGTCCTACTTCTTAAAGCTAAAACATTGATGATGTTATGATTCCTACATAAAAATCAGAAGTTTCAGAATACTTCACTGAAAGTAATTATAAAAACACAAAAACGTCCCCTGTTTAATGTTTCAAAATTTTCATAGAGAATCAAACATATTACGAAAAACGAGATAGAATTAAATAGTTTTATAAAACTATTTAATTCTATCTCGAAATAAAAAAATAATAAAAAAAAAAAAAAAAAAAAAAAAAAAAAATATTAAATTATAATTTGCCCATTTATATGGTTACTGTGATCTTAATTATTTAACTTAAAACTAATACTATTAAGCATTAAGTATTAATCCCTAACAATCTAATTTCTAAAGCCAATTTTCAAATTTCAATTAGACGCGCGTTTTTCTACAACTATCCGACGCGCATTTGACACGTCAGCAATTGTTTTGCCGTACATTTGATCTCATTAACACGCTTCTATATCTATATATATAGAAATGTTAAGTTGGTTTGTATACGCTTTAAAAAGGATATCTGCACCGATTGAGTTCAAATGTTAACATGGTAAACAACCACCTCCAAAAATGGTTTTTATCTATTTCTCATTTTTCATAATGGAACTACAATGTGTAACAGCGAAACGCGGCACACCTAGTTTTAAATTAAAATTTGAACATGAATTAAAATAGAGATCAAAATCTTCTAAAATTCATTTGTATGCCCATGTTCACAGAATACAGAACTCAAACAGACATCTAACAATTCAACAAATGGGCGTTCAACATCTGAAAAACCCCACGTCAAGTGAGTTTGTATAGAGACAAAAATCCACAGCGTAGGCGCGCATCGAATTTGTGTGAAAACCAAAATTAACGTAGCAACAGTTTATCAACAACTAGATAGTTTAATACCTGTAACATGTTTCAGCACTTATACAAAAGGCAACAGTCGAAAGAGAAAACATTTATTTTAATTTATTTTGTATTTTTATTAAGCTCAACAAGAGTTATTATTCAGATTTAGTTGATAGCTTATTTATTGCATAACATTTTTTAAAGCAATGGAATTGATATTAGACATGGGTATACATTGCTGAATTTGTTATATAGTTTTCTATAATAAGGTACGTTCTATACTTGTACTGTACCCGCAATAACTGCACACCCCTGCACTTACTAGACAAAGCAGTTTGTACTACACTATGATTTTTTTACTGACCACACGTATGACGCAACAACTGCCCTAAATTAAATGTTCACCATTAAAAAGCTTTTATATTGACAACCACAAATATATAATATAAGAACATAGTTTACATGATATTAACACTTTTAATATTTTTGTCTTTATGTCTTATATGAGGAATAAAAACCGAAGTCTATTTAAATAATTTCAATTTCAGCACAGAAACAGGAAATTGTAGGGCTGCCTAAGATATTTTAACACTTTACTAAGAGGATCCAGAATAAAGTAACACGATAAAGCCAGGAAAGGATTATTGACGGATTATATAAGGGATTTCTAAACAAATTATTTTCTTTTTACATTTTGTAGAGTGATCTTAAAAGGGATCAGTATGGAAGTGGCGAAATACAAAAATTAATGCACCTTTAGACAAAAGTCTGTTTCTTCTAAAAAGATTGAAAGAGAAGATAACTTCAAGCCTGTAATAGAACACAGTGACACTTAAACAATTTGCATGATTGCTTATAAACAGAAATAACAAACGTCTTATAAAGTCAACGTAAAACATAGAAAATAGGTAAACTATTATACAATTCTACTTGTGTAATTGTTTATACACTTAAAAAAAAACTACGTTTGATTTAAATTCGTTTTGTTTGAATGCTATTGATATCATTCAGACACATGACTTATTAACAGTACCTGCTTCTAAATTTTTCTTTAAAACTTCTTCTTGGCTGTTTTACTAAAACTTTAAATTATTTTCAAAACTAACGACAAGATATGCATCTTAACATCGATCACTCTGGGACTCGTTCCGTATTCCCACGACTAATTAATTATTTATGATTATTTTACATAGAAATGTGATGACATAGACTTGTGGCATTAAATATCAAAATTTCAAAGAAAACGAATTTACTTTCATACTCTTTCGTGGGTTTTTTTTTCGGTATTACGTGCCCTGATTAGTAACATAAATAAATTATCCATGCCCCATGTGGAGCGTTAAGTTACAAGCGAATCGGCGTGAGCATGACAAACTAACTCATAAAATAAACAGCATTCCACTATAATATGTAACATAACACCGCGTAAAGTAAAAAAAAATGTCAGATACCAATTACTATCACCGACAAGGCCCACATGTGTCCACAGTACAAAAAACCTATTATTTATAATGACGGCCAGTGTGGGGTGCATAGAAAATGAAAACACTTATTATTTTATCGCCTAGTGATGGATGATGATTACTTTAATGCCGCAAAATTGTAGTGTAAGTAATGTTCCTATCTAGTGCTTATTTGATTTTAATATCATCGGAAATTAGTGTTTATTCACGTGTTATTTAAACTTTAAAACAATTACTAGCACTAAGCTAGTCTGCTATCACGTGTATCTAAAATTTTGTTGAAATTTTAAATACGACGAATCAATTAATCATTATTATCATCTCAGCTATGGGATGTTTTCAGCAGAAGGCCTCATCCAAGGACTTCTAAAATTTCTACACCATTTAGAATTAGCGGTTGGCTAACCATATAAACACAAACAGAATTACAGACGCTTTGCGATCTAACACTGTCTAAGAAGTTCTGAAAATTCCGACATTAATAAATCAATCCCTGGAGAAATTGGCTATGCTCTATAGTAGGAACGTGGTTTTTCAGAATATCTTTTGGGTTTGTCTGTCTTAGGATCGAGTAACATCTTAAAATTAAGTAGGTATATCAAATGTTTTACTGGGCAATAAAGCATGGTCATTCTTTTGTTTTTTTTTTTAGTTTTAAGACTGTGCGAAATACGCTTATTAAGAGACTATTAAACAGAATTATTTTATGATGACAAAAAAAAAATCGCCTCACCATTTAGCATTGGCAATAGGTTGCCTTTGCTTAAAAAAAGCTTGTTTAACAGTCTTCATGCAATAAATTATCATATAATACTGAAAAACTACATGCATTACCGCTTTAATTTATTTTTTAATTTAAACTAAATAAAACGAGTATAATATTTATGGCAATAGTTGGATATAACATAATTTTCTTCAAGTTTTTAGAACATGTACCATTAAAACGTCTAATACGTATTATGTAGATCATATCAGAGACTAAAAATTACCCAAACTTGTGTAGTAATTCCTTAGTGGTTAACACATAAGACATTTGAAAACTCCATTGCTTATATCAAAAGTGGCATAAAAATTCCTACATTTAAAGTGGAGCAATAAAAACCCTGTTACTTGACCTCTTTCGTGGCGTATTATGACCAAAATATTTCTTACTTTTACAATTTATGCTTAACAATAAAGTTATTTCAATAGCGCGACGGCTTAAAGCTCACGCTTTAATCCCCTAAATTAATGTTAGCAATTAGTGTCAGTAATACTTTGTTAAAATAATAAATTTCATTGCAATTACGACGCTATTATGTACATTGCATGATTTTTTAACCCTCGTAGTTCGTAATATATTCTTAAGCTCAGCACGAGGGGAACCAAAAAGGGGGCCAACAATTGTGCTTACATCACGCATCATATGAAATCGAAAAATAAATTTATTTTCGTTACCAAAATTATCGTAATTTGACTATTGCATTTTTTAAATCGTATGAAAAGCGTTTCGCGGTTAATATAATTATATGATAATTATTTATTGTTAAAACATAGCTGTAGTTTAAAGTTTGCTGATATTAAGCGTTTTTAAACGAAACTTATAGTTTAAAAGAAATCCCATCTTTTATAAAGTTTTTATGATTCGGCTTAGAAACTTCTTTCTTTATACAGCCATTATCGTCTCCTATGATCTTTTCACTACCAACTGCGGTATTACTCTCACGTAGAAACTGTCTCGTCTAAGATTGCGGAATAGCCAAAGTTAGGCCGTAGGAGGTTACGAGGCAAACTAGAAATCCCTGAGCGATCTGATGGCCGGCGTAACAAATTATGTCGACGGTTGGACGGTCAACGGGCGCTTTACGAGCCGTTTCCCAGCTCTGATGATGATTTAGATGCAAGATATATCGGGCGGAAGCGCGATAACCGCGGGGCCACGTTGCCATGGCAACGCGGCGCGTCATAGGGCGCTTATATCCCTTAAGCTCGCACTTTCTTCGCTAGTTGACGGACACTTATCGTTATAGCAATAAATGGGTATGCAATTCTTTTGGTAAAAATGAGGGAGACGTAACGTGATTTTTAACTTTTTTTTTTTTTTTTATCTCTATGCTTTTACTTAAATCAGAGTTAAAAGTGAAAGTAATAATTTACTATTAAAAAGTTGTTCATAGATAAGAAATAAATGCTAGACCTGCACCTGATAAAAGTAATTATTGGTTTTCGCTAAAAGCCTTTTTCAGATATTCCGTTCCGTTATTCTGCTATTGCTATTCCGTTATTAATTTGCATTTCTACATTGAGAATATACTTTTATAACATAAATGTTTAATTGTGTAGTTAGTTAATTGTGTAATTACTTTACCACCATAATATTATATTAGAGCTGCCACAACCAAACAAAGCTTCTAAAATACGTTATATGAATGTAAACACAGCGCAAAGTCCCCGATTTATTACCCGGCGACTGATGATGATATATCGACGTCGGCTGCTGTGTTGATCGTCACTTACCCTACCCTTATCACGGAGCATGTAATTTCGGATTCATTGCCCTCGGCCCCGCCGCCAGCGACGGCCCGTGACTTTTATTAAAAAGAAAATACTTCATATTTGTATCAAATGTGCTGTAAAATTACAAAATCTTTTTTTACAGGTACTCATTGGAAATGAAAGGATGAACCATGGAATCACGAAGTGCGCCGCCAAGCCCCGACGAGTCCGGGGAGGCGGTGTACGACAATCGTTGTGGACGTTATCCACATACAACTGCTACTCTTCAGCGAACGTTTGCGAGCTGTCGCGAGACAACACGACCTCGCCCTCATCACCGTCACGCAGCTTCGGAGCCTGCGCGTCCAGACGACCGCGTGCTTACCACGGCACAGGTACACGACTACCCGTCATCGGAGTCGGGCATCGCTGCCGACTGTCCACATCCTCATGCCAGTAACGCTGACGACAGTCCTTCTTACGATCGATCAGACTACGAAGGGAATTCCAGTTACAGTTTAAGACACACTCCCGATTATCATCACACACTAGATTGTAAACATCGACCAATTGATTATAATCGAAGCCATACCCCAGATTATAATCACGGACACGGATCAGACTGCGATCGCGCTCACGCTCGATCTCAAACATCTCGTCGGCCACATAGAAAACACAGGCGAGAGGAGGATGATGGCGCACAGTCACTTGATGAACGATGTGCCAGAGACTTAGACGAAATCCTGCCAGTAAGACTGGCCGCCGTAAATTTGTCTAGGGAACCACCTCCTCAGACATGGAATAGGAGTAATATCGCTGCTACAATGGAACGATTTGAGCCAGTCGATTATTCTTACGCTTATTATGATCACCATTTATCGATGCCTTCGTCATCAAGAAAGGTGAATCGTCAACGAGGAAGAGGTGGGATACCACGAGATCGATCATCACGCCATAATTATGTTACGAGGTACGGCACAGAAGAAAACATTTATGAAGAAATCACGGACGGCTCTAGAACATGTCCAAAGCATCGATACGCGCCACGCCAATCACTGGTTTCTCTAGATAGAAGTGTAGTCGAAGAGGAAGTTCGTCGTGTTGAATCGCGACACAAACGAATATTAGGAGAATTAAATCTTAGTGTCGAGGCAATGCTCATGCCGGAATGTGAATCCCCGGATTCAGAGCGTGCAGAAGACAGAGACAACATCGAGGAACTGTTGAGAGTTGGGCCAACGGATGAACTACTTTCACCGGCAAGTTGTAATCCACCAGACTTAGATAGCGGGTTTAGTGGAAGCAGTAGCGGAGCGAGTTATGTCGGAAGTTTGCGTCGTAAACCAACAGGTTCAGTACCTCACTTGCCTGCTGTGGCGTACGGCACACGAGGAGCGGGCGTAAGAATTTTAGGCGCCGAAGAGTGTGGCCTACGCTGTCCAAAAGATGTTCCGTCACCACGTAGCTCGAGCTGTGGTGACGCCAAGACTAGCGGGTTTTGGAATAAAAAAGCCTGGAAGAAAATATCAGGTTTCTCTAGTTCCAACAGCATCAATAAAGCTGGATTAACTGGTAAGTTTTAACTATAAACCTAATACTTTTCACTGTTCTGCATGTCGGTTTTTAAAGCATCTATCTTAGCAAACCGTTTTCATAACTTCTGTATTTAGCTCAAACTAAACTTCAAAAATCAAGCACATACTCGAAACATACGTCATCGCATAGGAAGTTCCACAAAACACAGCCTATAAACCATAAATCCAAATACAAAAATGCATAAAGTATCATAGTACCATAAAACGAGAATGAATCCAAGCGGTATCAAGTCATGAAAATCCTGAGAGCATCATTTCATTTTTTTTTATTTCGCCCGCTTTCGGCCGCCCATAGGCGTTTTTCAGATGGACGCGCGCGCGTGGCTCTATGTTTGTTGTTTTCATTTTGGTTTAGTTGTTTGTTTTGTTAACGGTGCGCCGTTTTGCATTGCAGGTCTGCTCGTTAGGTACACTTTCCGGCGTAAGTCCGGCTCGCAGGGCTCTCAGGGCAAGCGGCGTGCCGAGCCCGTCAAATGCGATGCGTGCCTCTCACAACGATGTTAGCCGCTGTCTGGTAAGGCTCCCTGCCATAACAATTGCTCCTTAGTGGCAAAAATATACTGTATACTTCTCTAATGGGCTAAGATACTAACAAACTTTCTAAGAGTAATTTATTAACCAATTTTATAACAACTCCATTTAATTGACAAACAGCGCGTCCATTTCAATATTCGTTTCTCACAGAGATAATTCATAAACCAATTTCCATTTGTTTTTTATTTTACACCAAAAACATACACATTACAATTTCACACTAAACAAAATAATTGTATGCAAATAAAGCCACTTTAAATGATAAAGTTAAATAAATGGAATCGTCCGGGTCAGAAACGATTAACGAAGTCGATACGAAGTTCCCTCATTAAGGTATCGCAGATATTACTTCTGCTAACTTCGACTTAAGATAAGTATTGTTCCACAAGAGTCGAGACAATAGCGTGCGCTACCACTTAATTAAACCTCGTCGATACGATATGAACTATGAAACAAGCGGAAACTTTCCGTTTAATCCTCTAAGCCAAACGTTCATTGTAAAGAATGGAATGTAATTTAATTCCACTCACATACAGTATCTTGGTTACAGATGACGCGTGTAGGCCAAGCAGAGCTAAATCCAGAACGACCACTATTCCATACAGGTTAATAGTACTTCTATTAATAACTCGTTTATTCGTTTACTTCTGTTTGATGTATGTACGTACACTGTAGTTTGCGATTTTTTTAAACAAAGCTGTCAATTGACAAACATTTTGTCTAATTTGGTTGTTTTCTGTTGTTGCAGCTACTCCAACGGAAAACTGGTGGTGCCATTGGATTCCCTAGCACAAAGCTGAGGGGTCCGCCCCCCTCTCCATCCCCGCCTCCAACTCCTTGGAGGGACTCCTCAACATGAGAGGACAACGATAAATACAAAACTAGTGACTTGATGCGACAGAGAACTTTTCTCGTGTTCCACGAACCATTAAAGAAACAACATTCCGTTTTAGTCCAACAATGGACACTATTAAGTTGTCAACACCTCAGCGAGTCTCAAAGACGAACTGTCCAGGTGTATTTTGTGTAAATATAATGAACAGACATTGAAATATTATTGTAGGAGAAACGAGGACAGTATACGTTGAAGTGATAGAAAAGCCTAAATTAATTATTTGTATTGTTATATCAATCGTTTCATAGAAACGTAATGACTACATTGTTGTTACCAATAACTTTTATTGTTTAGCATCTAGACAAGCAATTCAGAACTATTCTTAGTGAAGTGAATGTTGTTGGAGACTAAACTTAGCATTCTTTAGAAATCATCTTAAAGAAATTTAAATTAGCAGCATTAAAAGTTGTATAGTTATATGTTTACCTTATGAAGAGATAGGCAATCACCTTATACTGACAATCTTATAATCTAGTGTCTATACATAGACATTACAGTTCTCTAATTGAGGCCGTAGCAATAATCTAAATAAAAATTAAAAACGTAACAAATCACTACAGCATAAACGATGATTTTGAAATCGCATGAGGCCATAATTAAATAATTAGAGTCTGACACAAAGGACACTCAAATAGATTTCTGAAAAAATGGTTTTTGTTTAATTAATTGGTTTCCTAGTCTTCTCACATGCCACCAAAATTTTAAATCTTGTAATTTTACTAACTGCATTGCTATCAGACTTAAAGATTTTCACGCATTACGATTTTCATGAATATCTTTATATCATCATTTTTATGTCATGTTTAAAATCTCAACAAACTATTAAATTAATACATGTTAAACTTGTACAATAAGTAATATAAAATATTATCGAATTTCACAATAAAAAAAAAACTGTATTTGGATGAAAAAATCCTAGAAAATGTACCCTACGATTATTGTTTAATACTTTTAGAATGCATTGCATTGCATGGTTGCAATTATTATTGAATATTGAAAATTATACAATTATTTTATTAAAGTAATAAGAGTTCCAAATTGCGTGTCTAGTTGTATATAAAAGTACTTGGTTGTTACTTATCAATATTTAGTAGTAATAGGTACGTGAAAAGGCTGATTGATACAGTTGAATCAGATTTTGTACATGATTAAAAAGCTACCATGTTAGCGAATATTTCAGATATTTGTCTACTTAACGTTTATAGACGAACCTTTATATGTAAATCAAGATAATTAGATAAATGTATTATCTGTAAAATTTATTCATGTTGCTACAGCATTTTGGCCACAATATGGTGCTTCGTGTAAAATATTGTAACGTCTCTGATAATTAAGTACCCCTAGTACGAGATTTACAATTACCACAAAAAACTTTAGATTTCTACTCATACATGAAGTACAACGTGGTGAAAGTTAATCTTATAAATATTTTTGAAAGAATTCATTAAAAAAAAAGTAATTAACATACCTTTTCATATACCTCCAAGTAACATATCTGGAGTATACCACATCACTTTTTTTTTAATAAATTTTTTCATGAATATTTTTAAGTATCAGAAGGTGATAAATATTTTTACCGCCACATCATGAGGTCTTTACGGGTATATAAAAATAAATTCATCAATCTTGTTATCATCTCAGCGTAGGATGTCCACAGTTGAACATACATAGATCCCAAATATGTAACTCGTACTAAGGATAAGAAACTAATATCTTGTACATAATTTCGTTACCGAGTTACACAAAATAATGTCAAGGTCCAATCTCTATTTATTTTTCTTGCAAATGTGTGTAATATTTTTATTTGTATAAAATTGGAAAAAAAAACATTTTCGGTAAATAATTGTTACTAATTGTTAGAATATAGGTAGTTGTATATTATGTAAATACATGCGAAAAATCTGGTGCACCGTTTGATTTATAATTTATGTAAATGTATATAAATGTACACTATCACAGTCGTAACGCTTTAATTTTAATTTTCATGCATTTTCGTACAGTTGAGTGGTAATATAATAGGTATAAAACTATTACGATCTTACTGATAAGAAATAAAAAAAAACTCTTAATATAAATCCTTCTGAAATCCTTGCATGTTTTATGATCGTCAAATATTCTAATATCGATTACGTAATCTGTTCCTCAATTTACAAATCAATAACCAAATTAATGACCAATAAAATGTGGTCAAGCAAATCAGAAAAAAATATTTGTGATCCCAGAGTCTATAACATATGTATAATCAAAAGCAGGATGCTTACAAATACATTTTATATTTGTTTGGTAGCTCGAAATTCTTAACGTTTCTAAGCCACCATAAAGATTTCTACTATGAATGATTACCCAATCATTAATCGCTGGTTAAATCACTTGCTAACTGGCATATTCATTAAACACCGGTTCATATTTGAAACGGTTTAACCTGGTAATCCTGGGATATTCTTCAATTTCGAATTCGATCACATTAATGAAATGTTTTTGACTTTTTGTTTAAAGCCAATCATAATAGAAAAAGCTAACATTGACAAATAACATCTTAAACGAATCTAATACATAGTATGTACGCTTTTAATATAACGTCAGTAATCTATTACCTGGATGTAAACGACGCCTTACCTGGAGTAAGGCGTCGTTTATATTCCAGCCAGTATCTTAGCTCGAGGCATTTTCAAATAGAGCACCGGATTTACCGGCACACATTTGACATATGGGAATTACTATGCCTACAGATTTACGAATATAAATAAAACACAACCGCTTTCACCCTATGCCAGATGTTGTTGGTAATTTATCGTAATTTTGAATTATGGAGAATGAACAAATTTCGTGTGTAAAACCATCTCATCCTGTTTTTGCTACATTTATTAAAATTGGTTGATTATATTATTATGTTACATCATAATGAAGTAAAGAGATCTCAAGTATGTTTCATCTTCATTACTTTCTTAAAAAAATACAATGTATATATTATAGTTAACAATATAAATTTTCATTTAATCAGTCAGTGAAGAAGTCTGTGTTGTAACTATTATTATTCTAAGCTCGACTGATACGACATAAAATAATCTCAATGTTACATGAAATCATATTTCTTAAATTGTCTGTAATTTAGTGATCGTGTTCAAGTCAAAAGAGATTTTTATTAAATAAATTACAAAAATTAAATGTGTTTTATTTTGCAGCGTAGAACCTCTGTTATCTTTTCGGCTCTAGCAACTCGAAGATGACTAGGTACTGGTGCAACAAATACAGATTTATTATAATGACGGTAATACTCTTGTCTAGTTAGCTGGTGTATTTTTGATTTGGTGTTTTGTTGTTCTGAGACAATTACTTTTGACACAATTTAAAAAACAAAGTGCAAACAAAATGAATTAATTCTGGATGATTTGACAAGTAATTACATTATAACGCTAACGCAAATGATAATGAACCGAATGCACACAGTTGCTCAACTGTTCATGGTTGTTTAATTTTAGTTAACTGTTTTACCTGATTATATATAAAGTACCTATGCATATTCAATGAATATGCGTACTTTATATTTATACCTATATAAGTATTCGAATATCTCATGGCATTAGTTCTCTTTAAAAATTTGCAGAGCACATCAGAAAATGTATGTACACACATATCCTGTCACGACTCAAACAAACACGATCTAATTTACTTATCCGTTCAGTACCTTATTTGTTAGACTTCCTTATTTTTATTACGTATATTTTAGGGGGCTGCTTATTCACGAGTCCAAAAGCTTTCATTTCTAGAACAAAAACTTAAATTCACAATTCACCACAATACGCCTTTAATGAGTATAAAATTTCGCTCTGCACAGTGGGGAGGCTTGATTCCTTTGTACCTCTCGACGGGTTAATTGTTTAATTGGCAATAAAAATAAAAAACAGAGCATACGTATTCTTTGTTGGAACATGCAATATACAGCTGCACGTAAAATAAAATTACCTTTTTTTAAATGCTTTCAAAGAATGTGCTGTCTTTCTATAGATGGGCATAGGTTATATTCAGGCAGTCTTGAATTGTTGTCTTGTCTTGAATTCGGGGTCTGGAAATAATTAATTAATCTAGAAAAGATGCTCATATTTCCTAAGATGGAATTAGCTCAAGAACTAAATTGTAAAGTGAAATACATTATTGTAGTTGCTATAGGTATTGGTATATTCGACTTGTTTTAGCCAATTACACGGACATGAGCACAACTAGTTATTCAAAAAAAATAAAAACCCTGCTCAGGTAAGTTTTTATTCTAAAACATGACTTGTTAACTAAAACATGTTATGATAGATAAACATATTAATATAGGGTATACGGGTTTTCGTATTTGTGTAGTACAAATACGAGAAACTTTATTCCGTTAGTCACAAATACGAATTTCAAAATACCGATTTTCATAATTCCGAGTGGTTCAATATTCCTAATATAACAACTCCGATTGATCATTCATACTATTTTAAAATTCAAAAATTTAAATATTCCTATCATTTCTAATTACCATGCTCGAAAGCCTAGTTTCAATAGATCGAATTACAAAAAGTCCTACTTTATGATAATTCGAAACATCAAAATTCGAATTCTTTGTATTTTTTTTAGAATAATTTTAAATAAATAATAAATATTTTCTTTCGCTGGTCCCAGTTCTAACCTATCTTTACCCAAATTATTCACCAAAAATAGCCCCCACTATTGTTGATGAATATATATATGACGCTCGCCGACCGCTAACGCGGCCCGCTCTCTACGCTCGCTCGCCTTCGCGCTTTTATGGGCACAGATCTATCCTAACCTAACCCAAAGAATTCAATAACAGTAGATGGTACCCCTGGCGGCCTGCGACCGCCAGACCTTCGTTGTTGTATAAAAGCTGAAAGTTTCCGACACAACAGTTGC